GTTTTTCCCCGAATCTTGGAAAAAATTCGAAAACTTCGATACGTCAAGGCAGACGAACAACTTTCGTATCGCTCGTTGCCCCCCCTCAACGAAATATCATGAAAAAAACGAAGAGCTCGATTTGGCAAAGCTACCGGGAGTCTATCGCATCGTCCGTTTTCTCGCTCCCTCAACGAAATATCATGAAAAGAAACGAAGAGCTCGATTCGGCAAAGCTGCTGGGCATCTCCCGCATCGTGCGTTTTCTCCTCCCTTCAGCGAAACCTCGAGGAATAAAACGAATACCTCGATTCGGTAAAGCCGCCGGGCATCTCTCGCATCGCTCGTTTTCTCCCCCACTCAGCGAATCTTGCCCAGAGAAAATGTACAGCGACATTCAGAATGGCTGACGGACATCGCATATACCGTTCGTTCTCTCCCCCCCCTTTCAGTGAAGTCTCTTGGAAGGGACGAATACCTCGCTTCGGTAAAACTGGCCGGCCACTCTTGCATCGTTCGTTTTCTCCCACTCCCCCTTTAGGAAAAACACGAAGAGCTCAATTCGGTAAAACTAGCGGGTAACTCCCGCTTCTTTCGTTTCTCCCTCCCCCCCTCAACGAAATATCATGAAAAAACGAAGAGCTCGATTCGGCAAAGCTGCTGGGCATCTCCCGCATCGTACGTTTTATCCCCCTTTCTGCGAAGCCTCGTGGAAAAAAACGAAAACCTCGAACCTCGATTCGGCAAAGCTGTCGGGCAACTCTCGCATTGTTCGTTTCTCCCCCCTCAATGAAATATCATGAAAAAAACGAAGAGCTCGATTCAGCAAAGCTGCTCTGGGCATCTCCCGCATGGTACGTTTTATCCCCCCCCTTCTGCGAAGCCTCGTGGAAAAAAAACGAGAACATCGATTCGGCAAAGCTGCCGGGCAACTCTCGCATCGTGCGTTTTCTCGTCCTTTCAACGAAATATCATGAAAAAGAAACGAAGAGCTCGATTCGGCAAAGCTGCCGGGCAACTCTCGCATCGTTCGTTTTCTCGTTCCCTCAACGAAATATCATGAAAAAAACAATTCGGCAAAGCTGCTGGGCATCTCTCGCATCGTGCGTTTCCTCCACCCCTTCTATGAAGCCTCATGGAAAAAGACGAAAACCTCGATTCGGCAAAGCTGCCGGACAACTCTCGTATCGTTTGTTTTCTCCCTTCTCAACAAAATATCATGAAAAAAACGAAAACCTCGATTCTGCAGAGCTGCCGGGCGACTCTCGCATCGTTCGTTCTTTCCTCCTTCAACGATATCGCCTGGAAAAAAGCGAAGAGCTCGTTTCGGCAAAGCTGATGGACAACACACGCCTCGGTCGTTTTCTCCCCCCTTCAGCGAAGCCTCGTGAAAGAAAACGAATACCTAGATTCGATAAAGCTGCCAGGCATCTCTCGCGTCGCTCGTTTTCTCCCCCACTCAGCGAATCTCGCCCAGAGAAAATGTACAGCGACATTCGGAATGGCCGACGGACATCGCATGTATCGTTCGTTCTCTCCCCCCTTTCAGCGAAGTCTCTTGGAAGGACCGAACACCTCGCTTCGGCAAAACTGGCGGGCCACTCTCCCATCGTTCGTTTTCTCCCCCCTCTAGGAAAAAAAACGAACACCACGACTCAGCAAAGCTGGCGGGCATTTCTCGCATCGTTCGTTCCCCCCCCCCCTCAACGAAATATCATGAAAAAAACGAATAGCTCGGCAAAACTACCAGGTATCTCCCGCATCATACGTTTTCTCCCTCTCACAACGAAATATCATGAAATAAAAAACGAAAACCTCGAATTGGCAAAGCTGTCGGCCATTTCTCGCACTGTTCGTTTTCTCCTGCCTCAGCGGAATCTTCAGGAAAAATAACGAAGAGCTCGAATTGGCAAAGCTAGCGGGCATCTCTCGCATCGTTCGTTTTCTTCCTCCTTCAACGAAATCTCCTGGAAAAAACGAATAGCTCGATTCGGCAAAGCTACTGGGCATCTCTCGCATCGTACGCTTTCTCCCATTCTCCCCCCCTTCAGCGAAGTCTCTTGCAAGGAACGAACACCTCGCTTCAGTAAAACTGGTGGGTAATTCCCGCATCGTTCGTCTTCTTCCCCCTTTAGGAAAAAAACGGACACCTCGATTCAGCAAAGCTGGCCGATATCTCAAGCATACTACGTTCTCTCCCCCCTTCTGCGAAGCCTCATAGAAAAGACGAAGAGTTCGATTCGGTAAAACTGGCGGGCAACACTCGCATCGTTCGTTTTCTCCCCCTTCTGGGAAAAAAAATGAACACCTCGACTCAGCAAAGCTGGCGGGCAACTCTCGCATCGTTCGTTTTTTCCCCCCTCTAGGAAAAAAACGAAGAGCTCGATTCGGTAAAACTGGCGGGCAAGTCGTTTCTCCTCCCCTCAACGAAATATTATGAAAAAAACGAAGAGTTCTATGCGGCAAAGCTGCCGGGCATCTATCGCATCGTTCGTTTTCTACCCCCCCTCAATGAAATCTGGAAAAAACGAATAGCTCGGTTAGGCAGATCTACCAAGCATCTCTCGCATCGTACGTTTTCTCCCCCCTCAGCGATATCGCCAGGAAGAAAACGAAAACCTCGATTCGGGAAACTGGCGGGCAACTCTCGCAACGTTCGTTTCCTCCCCCTCTAGAAAAAGAATGAACACTTCGATTCGGCAAAGCTGCCGGGCAACTCGCATCATTCGTTTCTCTCCCCCTCAACGAAATATCATGAAAAAGAACGAAAAGTTCTATGCGGCAAAGCTTCCGGGCATCTCTTGCATCGTCGTTTTTTTCCACCTCAGCGAAATCTCCTGGAAAAAAACGAATATCTCGATTTGGCAAAGCTGCCGGGTAGCTCTTGCATCGTTCACTTTTCTCCCCCCTCAGCGAAATCTCCTGTAAAAAGACGAATAGCTCGATTCGGCAAAGCTGCCGGGTATTTCTTGCATTGTTCCTTTTCTCTCCCCTTGAGCGATTCACGCTGTGAGAAAATGTACGGCGACTTTCGGAACGGCCGACGGACATCTCAAGCCTCGTTCGTTATCTCCCCCTCCTCCCCCCTTCAACGAAGCCTCATGGAAAAAAACGATGATCTCGATTTGACAAAGCTGCCGGGCATTTCTTACATCGTTCGTTTTGTTCTCCCCTCAGCGAAATATCATGAAAAAAACGAATAGCTCGATTCGGCAAAGCTGCCGGGCATCTCTCGCACAAATTTGCGACCGTTTTAGCGGCGGTCCGCAATGGGGACGTCTGATTGATCGCCGGAGAGCCAATCAGCATCACCGGCAGCCGCTGCTCCGGTGGAAACTCCCAGGCTGAGTTCCATTATTCACTACCAGTACTGAAAATATATAGTTTGTGTTGCATATACTATGGATTTTCTTCGCTGGAAGTGAATATCGGAACATAGCCCCAGAAGTCGCGGAAGGCCCTAACCCGGGAGATGGCACTCTCTCCCATAAGCACGGTTGCGCTAGTAAGTTTCACTCTACTGAATGTATACTCCGTCGTCAGTCGCGCCGGTTAATCCAAGATGGCCGTCACACGTGCATGACGGGCTTCTGTCGACGAAGATGCCAACATTGAGTTAGACTTTATTTTCTCGAAAAGTGGAGGAGATAGTATTGGTACGAAAGAAAACCTCTAGACAATATAATTTTAATTTCTGTAGATTAGTAACACGGTTTAAGTAGTATGTCTGTTAATTTGTGAAACGTTTTTGACAAATGTGGGTGCGTGTAAACAACAAATATCGAAGAATTATAATTCCTCATAAATATTAATATAAATTATATAACGTGGCATAAAATTAAAATAAAAATATATTAAAATGACACGAATATGTGGAAATGTGGAGTGCATGGAGATAAATGAGATAAAAAAATAATTGTAATGTGAATATATATATTTATAAATTAATAGATTATTATTATTATATACAATTGTATAATTGTAATGTGTTTAAATTTTGATACATCATAATATCATTCATGTTTATGGCATAATTCTTTGCAGTGGAGTCATTTTGCCAACATTGTTAACTATGGCATGAAGTCTGTGCAAGATTAAAGAGAAGTTTACACAAGGAAAATAGCAGAAGAAACAAATGAATGACAAACAAATATCAGATAAGAGTTAAAATTCATATATATATATATATATATATATGTATACATATAATAAAAGATTAATTATGTACGTGCTGTCTGTGTGACTGTGGATATTGTCAGACTGATTCTTTTCTTTAATTTATTTTCTTGTTTCAGCTTCGCAGCAAACCATATACTTGCAGAATTTTTATAGCCGTAGAACAATCTCCTGCGGGATAAAATTGTCAGTGTGTGTCTTGATGCGCATCACTCATGCAACATCATTCTTTGCACTGGAATCAATGTGCCATCATCATCAGCTGTGGAATAAAGTTTATACAACATAAAACAAGGAACACATAAAGAAGTAAAGGAACAAATATCAGATAAGTAACTTATATTTGTATAAAATAGAGTATTAAGCACCTATATGCTGAAAATAATTGCACATGTCATCAGGTTGATTGTTGTTTTGTAATAAATTTTGTTATTTTAGCCTCCCAGTTAACCATGTGCTGGTGAAGGAAAACTTGAAATTATATCTAACATGGAGTATAAGAGTATATATCTGTCACCAGCAGTGCAACGACTGATTGACAAACCGAAAGCAGGTTCGTAAAATATATTTATCATCTTACTTTCATTGATGCCTTCGACAGGCTTTCTCAGTGCTTATTACGCTTGTACTCGGTTGTCTGTTGATTTTGGTTTCTTTTAACAAAGTGGGTATGTTACCTATATTCGCATATGTCAACATTTTATTATTGTGATTTCTGATTGTGATTTCAGAAATGGAGAGCGTTTCTGAAACCGCGAGGATGGATGCTTTAACATTTCTTTAGCAAGATGAAAAATCATATGTTGAAAATGGAAGATACAGTAACCGTGAGAAATCAAGGAGTAAAAAGAAATAAAACACCAAGAATTATGAAAAGAACAGGTACTATAAATTTATATATTTATTTCTCTTTTTCCAATTAATTCTGATAATGAATGTAATATTAACAACAAATCTGTATCTTCCATATTTTTCAATTTGTTCCAAATATGTTGCAGGTTGTGTTCTCTTTGTGACAATGTGTCGCACTTTGATCTCATCCAAAATGTAGGATGGGACAAAACGTTGTGAATGTTTCTCTGGTGCTCGCTCAAATTAGCTGTAAGTAATAATGAATTGTAAGAATAATAATTTGACACAATTTTGAAAAAGAAAGCAATAGAGACTTCACAATATACCTATAAAGTCTACAATTGTTGAATGTCTTTTTCACGCTTTTTTGAAATTCCTGGTTGTGCCTCTTGGAAATATTTGTTCGATGAAGTTATTATTTCAAATCCTTCTTTTATTATTTCTGCGGGCAAAAGAACCAAAGATATAAGGAACTTGGTTGCTCTCGAACCCACTTCTTCTCTGTCGCTTCTTAATACTTTTTGTTTGTCAGCGTTCCGCACTATTGCCTCTAATAAGAAAATAATGTAAGAAAAGTTGATATCCATTTCTATTTGTTATTATGTACGCGTTATCTTTCATTACCTGGCTGTAATGAAAAAAAGCAGCCAATAACTTGAGCGCTTGGAAAAATTGTTTGTAGTGCGTTTCGCTCAGCTTTTTCAGTTACATTCGTTATCAGAATTAATTGGAAAAAGAGAAATAGACATATTTATAGTATCTGTTCTTCTTTTTATAATTCTTGGTTTTATTTTTTTTACGCCTTGATTTCTCACGGCTGTTGCATCTTCCATTTTCAATATATGATTTTTCATCTTGTTGAAGAAATGTTAAAGCATCGATCCTCGATGTTTTAGAAACGCTCTCTATTTCTGAAATCACAATAATAAAATGTTGACATATGCGAATATAGGTAACATATCCACTTTGTTAAAAGAAACCAAAATCAACAGACAATAAAGTACAAGCGTAATAAGCACTGAGAAAGCCTGTCGAAGGCATCAATGAAAGTAAGATGATAAATATATTTTACGAACCTGCTTTCGGTTTGTCAATCAGTCGTTGCACTGCTGGTGACTGATATATTCTTATATTCCATGTTAGATATAATTTCAAGTTTTCCTTCACCAGCACATGGTTAACTGGGAGGCTAAAATAACAAAATTGATTACAAAGCAACAATCACTCGATAACATATGCAATTATTCTCAGCATATAGGTGCTTGATACTTTATTGTATATACATATAAGTTACTTATCTGATATTTGTTCCTTTATTTCTTTATGTGATTCTTGTTTTATGTTATAATATATACCGGGTGTTTCAAACCACCCGGTTCATCAGATTTTTTGCTAAAGACATTTTAGAAAGAAACATTTCAGACAAAAGTTATAGAGTTTCAAAGGATCTATTTACTGACGCTATGAATTTGATCTTGGGATAACCTTGAAAAGTCTAGTCAAGATCAACATAAAAGTCTTAAGTGGATAATCGAATTTTTTATTATACTGTCGTTTTCCACTAATTAATTTGAACAACGTTTGTCTGAAACATTTTTCTATTTACCTAATATTTTTTGAGATATTTAAGGAAAACTTGATAACTTTTTCAATATTTAACTCACGATATCTCGCTAACTATTTGTCAGAAGAAATGATACTAGACTTTTCTGCTCTATTTAGTCTTAAGAATATATTTTTACAATAGCGCCCTGACTTTTGATTAATTTGATGAATTTTGAAATTTCCAAAAAATTAGCAAGTCGCGCAATAATGGTAAAGTCTGCGTCCGGTCGCGTCGACGATTCCACGATGATTTCGTACAATTGACCTGGTACGAGCGAACGCACATACGAACCCTCGGTTACTTTTTTTCAACTTAGGATCGATTATTCTTCGGTGACCTGCTTCCTCCGTGTCAGGCGAGGTATGAGAAGACAGTGGTGGTGGTATTGATAGTGTTGGTGGCAGTGGTGCAGTGGTGTTTCATCCTTCGAATTGCTGCTGCTGCTGCCGCTGACGTAGTCGAGCACATTTTCGCTGCCGCCCTCGCCGTTACTACCGCCGTAGCCGTCGTCCTCTTCCTCCTCATCACTGCTGGACATGTTCAAATTGGCTATGAGTGACATGTGTTTGCCAGCAACTCCGCGACTTTGATTAATCGATGATGGCTTTGTCGTTACTAACGCTGCCATTTTCTCGTGTACTTCGTTGTTCACAAGTGCCGTCGCTACTGTTGCTCCGTTCATAGTAGGTGATATTGCTATTGTTCCGTTTGTTGTAGGCGCGGCTACTGCTGTTGCTGCTGCTGCTGCTGCTGCTATTGCTCCGCTCATAGTAGATGGTGTTACTATTGTTCCGTTTGTTGTAGGTGCTGTTATTGCTGCTGCTGCTGCCGCTGCCGCTGCCGCTGATCCGTTCATATCATTTTTCGCGCGTTTCGCTTTCGGTTCGCGATTACTGGCTCTCTTGCGCTTTGAGTCGTTCGTATTTGTCGTCGTCGTCTTCTCATTCGTCACCACGGCATTCTTTTGAGCGCCGTCACCGCGACTCCTGGATTTGACAATCCCAGATCTAGAACGCTCTTGAGGGACGACGGTTTCTCCTCCGTCGACCGTCGTCGTCGTTGTGACTGCGGCGGTTGATTCTAGAGAACGTAATGTCGGCGACGTACCTCCACCGTTGCAGATTCGAATTATCATGGAGATGCAACGGCAGGTTTTTCCATCCATCACCGGTTGAATGTCACACAATATACCGTTTATAACATTGCTCGATACGTTGTTCCAGGCACATGTTTCGAACGTATTCGGATATTCGTACCACTCGTCCAAGTTTCGCAGCATGCTTCCATCGGTAGCCTGTTTCTGCATCGTTGAGGAATCTATTACGCCATAGGCCACAAACATGTTCGCCACATTGAACCACATGCGTTCTATGTTGAGATTAGCCCCATAGCACAGCAAGCGTATGAATTCTCATTTGCCGCGTCGACGACCCAGACACATGCGAATCTCGGCGTCATTCAAACTCGCTTTCAGTTGATGAATTTTAGCAAAGCGTTCCTCCTTGGGCAACTGTTCAAACAGGCAAATCAGGCGTGCAAAATGATGAAAACTTCTGTCGTAACTATTCGTTTGCTGTTGTTGTTCATATTGTTGCAGCTGTGCAGGTTATTGATGCTTGTCAGCGGCGGTCATCATGTCGATGCTGGTGCTAATGGAGGTGGCTACGGCGACGGCAGGTTCCATCAGTTCGCTGTTCTCACTACTGACCGTTGTACTGACGAGTTACGCATTGAAACGTGGTGTTTTGTGATCTTCTTTCCCGCCTGATATATTTCCGATTGCCAGCGACTGGTGATCTATCTTGTTGAAAAGCTGCACTAAATTGTCCAACGATGAATAATCGTAGAGTTGTTGCTGCTGTTGCATTCCTCGTATGTATTGCTGCACGAATAAATTGTATGAACGTAAAGATAATGGACTACCGATACGGACACACGACTACGATGATCTCTCTTTAACACTGTCGATACGAGATTCAAACCTCTCGAATATATACTGTTCTCAGGACGAACGACGACGGAGCTTAAGATTCGACTAGCGACGACGGCTCTTAAGATTCGACCAGCGACGACGGCTCTTAAGATTCGACCAGCGACTACGACGATCTCTCTTCAACACTGTCGAAGCGAACTTCAAACCTCTCGAATATATACTGTTCTCAGGACCAGCGACGACGGCGCTTAAAATTCGATCAGCGACGACGGCGTTTAAGATTTGACCAGCGACGACGGCTCTTAAGATTCGACCAGCGACGACGGCGCTTAAGATTCGGCCAGCAACAACGTCGTTTAAGATTCGATCACCTCTCGAAACATCAAATGAAACATGTTATCGCGCGATCTAAATGTACGCGGATATTCGGTCTTAATTCGTTCCTTAATTTTAAACACGATATCGCGAATGTTAGATCTTGCGACGTTACAACCGCTTCCGTCGAGAAATTCGCGCAGAAATTTGCACATTTCGATCTCGCTGATAGACACAGTCGAATCCTCGACGATGCGATAACGTCTCAATAACCATTCATACTGATCGATGGTGACGTGCAAATTTCGCGCGTCACGCTGCATCGTTACGGGTATGCGATCGATGATGACCGGGTCTTCAAGTCTCTTAGCCGATTGGTGAGCAAACACGTCGCTCGCTTGTACAATCTCTTCGCCGCCGTCCGGCAACGACGATGACGCTCCGCCGCCGCCGTCGCCGCCGATGTCACCATCTGTTGACAATTCATGCACGATGCGTTCCGTCTGGCCGTAGATTACGGAATGCTTCGAGCTCTTGCGTTCGAGTATTCAAGCGTACTTTATCGTCTCGATTGGAATTGTCGGCACCCTCGCGTAGTATCTTTCTAGCCAGTTTTTAGCGAAACATTTGCTCAAGGCGTCGTAGAGTAAGTAAAACGTTTCGTCGTACGTGCACATGTCGATGGCAAAGTACTCCATGGCCAGAAAGAAACCCACGCAAAACGAGGGAAAACTCACGCCTTGTGCGAAGCATCTTGTAGCGAATTGATGCGATACACTCGGTGCGGAGTGTTTGCCAAAGTCCACCGAGCAATCGTGATCGCGCGGATGCAACGTTTTGAAGCGATGCAGCATGCGCAAACAATACTTGAGGCGCATAATGACACCCGCGTCGCTGCGCAGAGTGATCGAGTCGTTGACCGTTAGCACCAGTTTGGCCAGATTGATCAGATGTTGCGGTTGCTGATCGAAAAATTTTCGACTCTTGATGCGCATGCGAGAGATAAGCAATTTGAACAGCTTCGAGTTCAAGCGTCCAGGTTCATCGCATTGACACAGATGCGAATTCATCATGCTCATAAGGTCGGTGTTGATCTCATCGCGCACACCCTGCCGCAACGTCGCGTTGCTGATGGTGCCTGTGAGGGCGCACGAGAACGTTTGACGCAACACTTCTGATACGAATTCGCTCTTGCCGCTGTCGCTGGTGCCTTGCAACAACAGCACAGGCTTCAAAAACTGTCCGGGGAATCGCACTGCCACGACAAACACCAAGAGGAACATAATGATCTCCGGGTCGCCCCTGGCGTAAATATGCATAGTCACGAGGGCAACACAGAGCGAGTAACCGATGTCGTGCGGCACCCTGTCATCCACGCTCATGCTGTGATTAACGAATATTGCCAGACTGTTGGCCAGTGAGTTTATGTCGTACGAGTGTATACTCGTTTCGGCGAAAATTTTCCGCAACGAACGCTCACAATCGCTTGCGTGCGTAGCGGTCAAACGGCCAAAAATGTTCCAGCGTCGCTTATTCGCGGGCAACTGGCATTCGCGCGTAGATTTGCCGTTTTGGCTCAGTGTCGCCCAGCGCTCTCTTTCTCTTGCTACAACAAACAAATACAGTGCGGCGATATGACGCAGGGACAGATCGGTCGTAAATGATTCCGGAGTCGCGGTAGAATCGAGCACGCTGGTTAATACTGCGGCGGCGTCGCTCGTAGAAACAAAGGCCACTAGACGCGAAAGAAGATCTTTCGTATCGCATACGAAACGTCGGTCATATGATTTTTCGCTCAACTGTTTCAACATATTACTCTCGAAAGCGAGAGTATCTTCATCGTCAACAAAGTGGTCAGTCAGTAGTCGTTGATAGCGCATCGATTGCGGCGGCTGTGTTGCTCTTGACGAGAGAGCGCCTGCGTTGCTTGATTCGTTGTCCTCATTGTTGCTCGGTGGAGCGCGTTTAGCTACGATGCGTGAATATAGATAATGATTGATCGTGTCGCGAACATACCAGTCCAAAGTACTCGTTGATCGAATCCATAACACGAACCACGAATCGTTTTATGCGCCGATCGTGAATCTCGTTGAACCTATATCGATTTGGTGGATTCGAATCGTCGTAATCGATACGGAGCAAAGGCGCTATGGCTGGTATTGTTAACTCAAAACGATTCAAATAGAGATTCATCATCAATCGACCCGAGCTGTTTTTGTCCACGTAACGAACAAATTTGTCCAGCGTTGAACCTTGAGTAATGGTGCTGCTACCATTGCCAGCATCGCCGCCGCCGCTGTCACCGCCTCCACCGCGGTCACTATCCTCTTCGCGATTGTTTTCACTCGCGCCGCCAGAATTTACAGCGTCACCTCTGCACACAGTCATCATTTTTTCTACGATAGTGTTCATACTATAACGAAAATCGATTTGCGACATTTTGTCGACATACGAGAACTGGGCAAACGAATGCCGCCTTTGTTGTTGTTGTTGTTGTTGTTGTTGCATGGACCACTTGTAGGTGTGTTCGTCGGCCATGCATCGCTTCAATGTTTCGCACACTTCATACAAAATTTGCGATGTTATGGTTTTCTCAAACTGTGATTCATTGCGCACGAGTACGAGTTCGTCGTTCGCTGCGTCAATGTATTTGAGCCATCGTAACGCCAGTACATGGTGTTCAACAGAACCATAACGTTGCTTTGTTGCTGTATGTAGTTGAGCAAGTGCGACGACGTGAATACGAGCGGTCGTGAGCTACCACCACCATCAATGTTGCCAGCGAAATCGCTGTCGTTGTCGTCGTCATTGGTATATTTATCTTCGTTGTTATTGACCGATTGCAAGCGCGAAGGTTGGTTACGACGACAACTATGAGAATAACCATCGCTGCTGCTACTAGTTAGTCGCTGCTTTTCTGCCACGTGACAGTCGGCCGTTCCCGCTATTTTCTAGTAATTCCGGTCGATTTATCAAGTCGCACATACAAAATTCGCACAGTATTGACACTACGTTCGATTTGTCCCACAATGCCGAAAATGCACGGTCGCATGACGAGCATGTGCCGTTCACAAAGATTCTATGCTTGTTGTCGTCCACCAATTCGCCGGATCGCGCTGCGGCTCTTCTGCGTGCCAACAGGGGAAACAAAAACATATCAATCACATACAATTTGTCCAAAATAGATATCGCTCGACCGTCTTCGAGGTTTTGATATCAGTGCAGAATGTGTGCGCAGAGCGAACAATTCGTCGACGAAACACATGGAGAGAAAGAATTCGCACACTTCGCCGAAGCAATAGTCGTTACGAAACACATAGTAGTAGAACTGGGCCAATGTTATCGACGGGCAGTAATTGATCAAATGCGTCAACACTAGAGCCGGAACCGGCACACTGGATCTCACTTTCGCATTTATCGCGGAATTCTCGTACATGCATACGTTTCGTTCAATGAGATAGTCGAAGAAAGCGATATGATAGCGACGATATATCATCAGACGATCGCAATAGAGAGTCATCATGTATTGAGTACGCTCCATCAGTGGTCTATTGCATTGCTTCAATCTTTGCGATAGGCGTTGCATGGCTGTCCGATAGCGGTCATTCTGACTGGTGCGCAAACGAGCAAACAGATACGCTCGATACGAAGCGGTGCGATACGCACTCACGTAACGACGTGTTACAGCAGACCAGGTGGTCCAGGTTGAGTCTCTCTCTATGGTGTGCAGTTTCGCCCTGTCTTCATAGTCGAAGAGAAATTCATGCAATGTCTGCGTTTTCCTACGCCGCTGTAATCTTCGATCGCCTCCTCGGCACTTTTCTTGCTACTGGTACTGCTGCTGGTACTGTTGCTGGTGCGTTGACGCATTTCACGCGTAGTCTATTCAGCAATTTCGCAGAATTTGATCGGTCGTCGTGATTCATCTCGAATCTGTTTGCGATATTGCGCGTATTCTTGAAACGTTCGAAGGGGTCGTTCGTCGCCTCCGCCGCCGCCGCCACCGCCGCCATCGTCGCAATCAGCTCCGCTTTTGGCTGCTGCTGCTGTTTCGTTCAATCGTTGTTTCCTGGATGTAAAGTATCGCGATGACAAATTGCTGCCACCACTATCGTCGTCTATATTGTTCTCAACTCTACACCTTTTTGACATACTATAGCCGAGTCTTTTTTCTCTTTCTTCAGTCGAATCGACTGTGTATCGCTGCTGTGCTGTACTCTTCGATAAAGACTATTTGAGACTATTGAGACTGTCACATTTGCCAGCAGTAGTTCTCATGTTGGGGGTCAGTATTCCCACTATTCCTACTGACTACGTTACTATCTCCGCTGCTGAAAAAGTAGCTACAGGTGCTCTAATTTGCTGCATTCTGAGGCAACGTGACTGTCATCTCTCCGCCGCAGGCAATGTGCATGCAAACCAGTCCGGGAATAACTCGTATAGCTCTACGAACGACACAAAACTCATCTTGTGCGAGCGTTTATGGTGTGAGCACATGGTCGTCGATGTGCTCACCGATCGTCATAGAATGTTGAGTCAAGCAGCGGGGGCGGCGGCAGCGGCGACGAGTGCAAGCGATTCATTCGGTGACACGTTGCATTCGATTCCTACTACTACTACTACTACTACAACTGCTACTACTACTACTACATCATTATCGCCCAGCACAAATTGGTGGAACAACATGATTGGTGCTCTGGCCAAACGTGTAACACGACGATGGTACCTGCACCGGCGACTGCACCCTTCTGCGACCGCTGCAGTCGCCGTTGCTGCCGCGGCATCGTATAGCAGTGTCGAACGCGTATCGAGGGAGATACAAGCGTTGGACGACGTCGCATTGGCCACCGCTACACTTGACTTTCCGCCGTTATGGAGAAAGGATTGTAGCCTGATGTCGCATTGGCCGATGACGAAAATAGCTTGT